AGGGGCGCCGGGCTGTCGAGGCTGGGAGCTTATCCGGGTGCGGGGGCAGGCCGGCAGCCTCGCCACGCGGGCGCACCCTCTCCCCCAGGAGGTAGGAGGTACCGCTCATCCCTCCGAGAGACCCCTTGAGTCAGACTTGATCAGGGGAAAGGCCAGGAGACAGGCGGTTCCAGGCTGCCCAGAGCCCCCGCTTGGTCTTCCCGCCGGCGCCCTCCGGAACGAGGGCAGCAGCTGACGGGAGGCCAGCAAATCCAGCGCTTCTGCCTGCGCCCATGTCGCCGACTCCACAGCCCTGGGGTCCTCCAGCTGCCACTCAGCTAGCCGGAAGGCCTTTCTTCCTTTTTCTTTTTTCCCCCTCAGGAATTCCCCCTCAAATCATGTCCAACAGGCATCAGTTCCTTTCGGAATAAACCGTGGCCAAATCATTTGCCAAAAATTATCAGTTCCAAAAAATGAACTCACTTCGGCTGCTAGTGTCATGGTGTTCACGTGGCATTTGCATCTGTGACCTCCTGAAGCTTGGGATGACACGTGTCACAACTCATCGGAGCGAGTGGGTGTGTTGAGGTGCCAAACGAGTTCTGTTTGCGGGTTGTGGGCTATTAGCCTAAATTAAAGAGCCCAGCAGCTGTGTGGTCACTGGGTCCCATACTGCCCTCCACTTGGAAGAGAAGACAGAGGCCATGTTGTTTGTCATGAGTCAACTGAGAGTCGGAGCAAGACACTAATAGATCTTAGGAGAAAAAGGGTAAGTAACTTCTCTAATTTTTCCCAACCAGCTCATAATAAAACCTAAGATTTTTCAGGGTTTGGGGAAAGGAGTAAGCAATGCAAGAGAAAACAGCAAAGCAGTGGGGGACTGCCCCCGGATCTGGTCTGTGTGCACTGTGGACCAACCCTCCCTGACTGTAACACAGACATGTCTGAAGTAAGCAGCATCCTGTAAACAGTTACCCATTCCCAACCCCTACTCCGAGGCCAGTCAAGGGACTAATCCCTACCAATGCCGAGAGTCCAGAGCAGTTTGAGTTTGGCCACCGTGAAAGTGGTAGACACGTTTTGAAAAGTGTTATCTGCACGTCTAAATGCAAACAGAGAGGTTTGGGATTGGCGGGGAGCTGGGTTAAAACAGAGGCTGCATCACCCCCGAGCAGTGTGGCCAGGTGCCCAGGGAGGAGCCCTTTAATGATTACCTGCCCGGCTTGCAAGCTGACAACAGGATCTGTAAGACCACATGCTTGAGTTAGGAAAGAAGTTTGACTAAAAAAACACCCCTTTCCCATGCCTTCTCCTCTGGTGCTTTTTCTCAAACAGAGGAAGTCTAGATGGGGGAACTTTCTGTACTGAAACTCTGGCAGCCTTTGACAATTCAAAATGTCACTGTGACCTTGTAAGCACCAGTGGATGAAACACAAAGGGGAATGCTTAACCTCAATTTGACTCATAAATCACTTTTAAAGGTCCAATAAAGAAGGAAAAAAATTCATTTCAAGGAGCCCGGTCAGGTGGATATATATATATATCTTGAACTCAGCTGGACCTAACACCCCCAGGTCTTAACTGCACTGTCATATGCTCTCAGAATTTCTTATGCACCAATTAGGTTGTTCTTACATTTAATCACTGAATATGTTTTATGCAGTTCACTTGACTGGCAACTCATACTGATAAGCTTTGGTTTTATTTATGGCAGCATTGTCCATAATCTTGCTCCACAGCCAGGCATTGCTTTAGACAGCTTTTTACTTCTGATAAAGCAAAAACTGGCATTACTGATAAATACCATCAGAAGTGGAAATATTTTGTAGGGTGCCTTTGGAGTAGATCTGCCCATATAGAATACCTTTCTGGAAGTCTCATTAAATAGCAACCTCTAAACCAGGCAAAGGTCGTGGTCTTATTGTAAAGATAAATCCTCTTCTTGCACCAAGGTGATATATATAATCAGCAGGACCTGAATAGTATATCTGGATGGTGAATGGTGGGAAAAATGTAGTTAAAATCTTATTTTCATTTCTCTCTGAAACAATTGTTCCCAAATTTGGAGAGCTTTACAAAAACAGATTTCCAACACCTTCCCATGCCCTCTTCCCCTACTGATTCAGAATCTCCCAGGGTGAAGCCCAAAAGCTGTGTGTTTTCCAGTTTCCGCAGGTGACTAAGGGTGCCAAGATCCTGGGATCCAGTTTACTCTCCATGTCCGGTGTTCATCCCTATGAGAGTCTCTTTTATTTATTTTAGCAAATGTCGCCCTCTGGTGGAACAGATTATGACCTAGCTTTAAAAGAGTTTATGCCTCTTTTCTATTTAAAACCCTTCAAAATTTCATTAAAAATTATTATGATAAGATCAACCGAAGGACTTGTATACACATATATAAGCCAAACCAATAGACATGGACAACAGGGGGTTGGGAGCATGAGTGTGCGGGGGGCGGGGGGA